TCAGGCGGCAGGCCCCTGCTTACCTCCCTGAGCAGCCTGCCTGGGTGTTGTGAGCCAAGCAGGGAAAGGAGCGTGAGTTTCCCTTAGGGCGGGAAGCACGGGCCAGGAGTGGGGATGTTCTGTGTCTCAGGCTCTGCGCCAGTCCCCGCACTGGAGAAAAGGCGGGGCTCGGGCGTGCGGTTGGCCCACCTGGGGGGGCAGAGTGGGACAGGACCTGCGACGCCCCCGGTTTAGGTGGAGCTGCTGGCTCTCAGAATAGCAAGTGTCGGCCTCGGTCCCCTTGCCCTCGGGGGGCGGGTATTAACCACTATCAGTGAGTCATTAGAAGTTCCGGTCTGGAGCTGGGTCGCTAACGGGACAGCAACTCTGCCCCGAGAGACAGCAAAGGGGTGGGGATGCCAGGCTGTCTGCTCCAATCAGAAAGGGCCGTGCGTGACATTTTGCTTTTATTGGCCGAGCTGAGGTTGCTAAGCAACTTCCTCATCTTGGTCAGACTCCTGTAGCTCTAAGTACCCAGCTTCCCCTTCCCAGGGTGTCCCCCTCAACACGCACGGTTCCTCATCGTGAGATTTTGGCCTTTTGGTTTGGGTGAACATCAGAGACATAGATTACTTATGCAAGTAATTTCTATTGATGAACTCTGTATATGATTACATACATTAATTAGCAAAAAACGATCCCATTCACTGATTTGTCAACAGATATTTTTGGAGCATCTGTCACGTTCCAGGCACAGTTCTAGGCACCACAGTGGTAACTGTTAGCAGCAAGGGAAGCAGCGGGCATTCAGAATGGAGGTCAGCAAGGGGGACCTCTGGGCTCCAGTCTGGACTGTGAGGAGACCGGAGGTCCTAGGGGAGAGGCGGGGGTGGCCAGGATGAAGGAGAGGCACTCTGGGTCCGGAGCAATGACCCTTTACTAACCAATTCAGAAAATTGGTGTGTGTCTGCCAGTGTATGACAACGACCACCCTCAACGGAGCGTTTACCATGGGCCTGGCTTGGGCTGGATCCGTTAGGCATATAACCTGCAGTGGCATTCAGGCCAGCCCTAGCCCAGCCCCGGCCCCGCAACATTTACAGTGTAGTAGTAGCAGCCGCCACCATTGGGCCGGAGGTCCCGCGTATCTCCATTTGCGGGCGAGGAAACTTCGGTTCAATTTCAGACCTTATCTCCTCCGCCTGCCCCCTGCCGCCTTGGGGCCACGTGCCCTCACCACTTTACGCACCCTGCAGGGTCCCAGCAACTCTGGTTCCTGGTGACGCTCTGAGAGCCTGAAGGCCTGACGGGGTCCAGCTGATGGCCGGGCTCCTGCTTCAGCCCCAGACCATCCCGCCCGCCGCCCGCACTTGCTTCTTGCAGATGCCGGGTCGGCCTCGTGCTCACGCGGCTGGGCTCGCAGGAGCCCTCCCGGGAGGGGGAAGGGGGCCGGGGCGTGGGG